GAAGTCTGTATTGGCCGAGTGTGTTTGGACACACAAGGAATTTGTCTTTGGTGCAGATGCTCTCAGTTTACATAAGGAGAATAAAATACATTCATCCAGAACAATAGAATAGAATAAAATAGAACAGAATAGAATAGAATAGAATTCTTTATTGGCCAAGTGTGTTTGGACACACAAGGAATTTGTCTTTGGTGCAGATGCTTTTAGTGTACATAAAAATAAAATACATTCATCAAGAATCCTAAGATACAACACTTAGTGATAGTCATAGGTTACTAATAAGCAATCAAATCATACTAGGGACAAATAAATCAATATAAATTGTAAAGATACAAGCAACATGGTTATAGAATAGGATAGGATAGGATAGAATAGAATATGATAGAACAGAATAGAATAGAATAGAATAGCAGAGTTGGAAGGGACCTTGGCGGTCTTCTAGTCCAACCCCCTGCTCAGGCAGGAAACCCTATAGTACCAATTCAGACAAATGGTTGTCCAACATCTTCTTAAAAACTCCCAGTGTCGGAGAATTCACAACTTCTGGAGAAAACGTTGTTCCACTGAGTAATTGTTCTAACTATCAGGCACTTTCTACTTGGTTCTAGGAAATTTCTTCTTAATCCTAAGGAGAGTCACCATGCAAATGCACCCCTCCTGTGGGTGTGACACTGCCACACACATACAAAAGGGGAAGAGTTTATGGTGCCATCATCATCCCCTTTGTGCCATCATTGTCCCTTTTGGTAGGAGTTTGGAAATTGGAAAAGGAGGATGTATCAGGTTTTTTTAAATTTGTTTGTTTCAAACTTACACCATTAAGATGTGTGGACTTCAATTCCCAGAACTCCCCAGCCAGCCATTCTGGGGGTTGAAGTCCACACATCTTAACACTGCCATGTTTGAAAACACTGTTTTAGATCAAGGAACTTTAAGACCAAAATCCTCCAGGGAAAAAAAACCAGTCTTGTTGCCTTTTGACAAAAGCGCCTTTGAGTTTACTTCATTAATGTTTTAAGCAAAGTTTGAACGTAACTCTCTCAAAACCACACGCCTCCCTTCCAGATTTTGTTAATGTCTTTGTTGTTGTTTTTATAAGTTTTTATTTTATCTTAATACAAATAGTCCATTAAACAGTGTGTGGCCTGGGTACAAATATTTTGTGCAATAAAAGTTAAGTTTTACAATCATATTCATTATTTATCTATTCCAACTTAACGTCAATATCTTACATGTTTGACATTATAACAATCCTCCTCTTAATTTATCTAACTCTATTAGCTATATTAATTCTAATTAATACATTTTAACACAACTAGTTTTACTTCTAATTTTTATATTTATTCTCTAACCATCGGTAATATAATAATCAGTTTGTTCTTTCTCTTTGATTGCCAGTGTTAATCTGTTCATTTCTGCACATTCTAATATTTTCCTAATCACATTCTCCTCTGTAGGAATCTCTTCGCTTTTACAATTTTGTGCAAATATAATCCTGTGTAAAATGTTTTTTTTAATTTATATTTTTATTCAACATTTTCCAAACATTAAAATCACAATTACACTTTTACAGCTTTCCGTTATTGGTATTTCTTTTTTCTAATTTTGGGTTTTCCATTCTACAACATGGTGTCTTATAAATATTCCTCTTTATACAATACAATACAATACAATACAATACAATACAATAGCAGAGTTGGAAGGGACCTTTGAGGTCTTCTAATCCAACCCCCTGCCTACGCAGGAAACCCTACACNGGCAGCCCCTGAGATATTGGAAGACTGCAACCATGTCTCCCCTAGTCCTTCTTTTCATTAAACTAATTAGGATACAAAAATGGAACACAATCATAGGTCTGGGAAATACCTCAGAGGTCATCTAGTCCAACCCCTTGTGGAAGGCAGGAGACCTTATAGTATCCTGGTCAAAAGGTTATCCAGTCTGCTTTTGATAACCTCCAGTGATGGAACATTCACAACTTCTGGAGCCAAGCTATTATTCCACTGGTTAACTATTCTGACTGTCAAAGAAATTTCTCCTTATTTCTAGATTGGTTCCCTTCCTTGATTAGTTTCCATGCATTGCATCTTGTCAAAAAACCCAGTTAGTTGAAATGCTGGTTTGAATGAGCCTAGACCCTCATAGAAGTGTGTGGGGTTTTTTGGTAATTTTTTTTTAAATGGGGGAAATGTAGTTTTCTATTATTTGAATAGAACAGAACAGAATAACATTGTCTTTTTTCTACGATGGAAATCTTGATAAGCGGAGTGTTTCTCAAACTTTGCAACTTTTAAGATATGTGGACTTCAGTTCCCAGAATTCAAGTCACACCGAGTAAGGAATTCTGGGAGTTGAAGTTCCCCCCCCCCCCCGTGGCTTAAAGTTGAGAATAAGTTGACACACACCCTTTTTTCTTCTTCTTTGTGGTACCCCTCAAATACTGGCACCATGACGTCCCCTCCAAAATCCTTCTTTTCTTTAGACTGGCCAAACCCATTCTAGCAACTTTCGGCATATGTTTTTATCTCCAGGCCTTTAATCATCTTGGTTGCTCTTCTCTGTACTTTATCTCAACATCTTTCCTGTCATGTGGGGACCAAAACTGGATGCAGGATTCCAGCTGTGGCCTTACTAAGGCTTCCTAAAGCCTTATTAATATTTCACACGAATTTTGTAAAAACTCAGTGTACAATTTGTGAAACGGGTCTTTAAAAGTGACTTTTGTTTTTAATATTTCTGTACCCCGGAGGAGTATTTTTTTTTTTATTAACCTCGGTGACTTTATGAGGTGTGGACTTCAATTCCCAGAATTCCCCAGCCAGCATAGCTGGCTGGGGAATTCTGAGAGTTGAAGTCCACATGCTGGCTGGGGAATTCTGGGAGTTGANACCTTAAAGCAGGCTGGCTGGGGAATTCTGGGAGTGGAAGCCCACCCATCTTAAAGGAGGATGGCTGGGGAATTCTGGGAATGGAAGCCCACCCATCTTAAAGGAGGATGGCTGGGGAATTCTGGGAGTGGAAGTCCACCCATCTTAAAGGAGGATGGCTGGGGAATTCTGGGAGTGGAAGCCCACCCATCTTAAAGGAGGATGGCTGGGGAATTCTGGGAGTGGAAGTCCACCCACCTTAAAGCAGGCTGGCTGGGAAATTCTCGGAGTGGAAATCCACCTCTCTTAACGTTCCAAGTTTCAGAAACTCGGGTCTAGACACTGAACAAAATAATCTTAATTTTGGTATGGCTGGTTTCCAGCAAGCAGCAAAAGAAATATCTGGCAATTCCCATGGGAAACTTAACAAAGAGCTCTCTCTTATTTCTTTGAGCAAATGTGTTTTCATTTTCCATCAATGCGCTGATTTTAAACTCCTCCATGACGAAAATGTGCCCTTTCTAAAGCTCCTTGTGGCGTGGCTCTTCCTCTGCCTGCATCTTTAATCCAAACCAAATGCTTATTTTTCCAGATGTTAAAAAAACTCAGAACATAAACAGAATGTTTCCCTTTAAATGAAGGTGGAGCCATGTAGAGGAGGCGGGGCACGCCCAGGACTGTGATGCTGGATTGGCTGGCTGGACCTCAACTGTATTTGGCAGCTGGCAAATTTAAAGGCACATGACAGTTACTGGAATGAGATTAATTTTAGAAAATTTGCTCCCTTTACAACCAACAGGGTATTTTAAAAAAACCTTGGAATCAGGTTGCATAAAATTGTTTTGCAAATTAAGGTTATTGGTCCATATAGGTAATCTTCAATTTACGACCGTCACTGAACCAGAATTACGTTTGTAAGTCATGCCGGTTATTTTTCAGATTATCACATGACCAACCCAATTTTGTGACTTTCTTGCCACGGTCTTTAAGTGAATCCACAGTTGTCAATGAACATTAAACTTGTTAAGCAAATCCATTGTCCACAATGGGCTTTTTTTTTGCAAGAAATTGCAGGCATTGTTTTCCAGCAAAAATATCGGAAATAGCAGTCAGCTGTTTGAGGGACACTGCAAATGTCTGTAAATATGGACTGGTTGCTTGAAGTTCGAATCTCCATCGTAAGAGCTGTTTTTTGGGGGGGGGGTCCGTCATAACATGAACATTCACTAAGCGACCGGACATAAGTCAAGGACTACCAGTTTGGAAATATCTATTGATTTAACTAATTTATATAGCTGCCCACCTTATACAAAAAGGGACAAGAAAGCTATCACACATGAGCCTTGACGTACGACCAAAATTGAGCCCCAAAATGCCCGTTGCTGAGCGAGACCGTTGTTAAGCGAGTTCTGCCCCATTTTACGACCTTTCTTGCCACAGCCTGTTGAGTGAATCCCTAAATTAAGCAAATTGGTCCATCCCCCGTCCCCCCCACTCCGTTTGATTTTGACGGTCATAAATACGAGTCGCTTGCTGAGCACCTGAATTTCAATCATGTGGCCCATGGGGATGCTGCAGTGGTCGTAAGTGTGAAACATGGTCAAAAGTCATTTTTTTAGTGCCTTTGTTAACTTGTTATGCTTGCTAAACAAATGAGGACCTCCTGTAAGTGCCAATTTTTTTTCTTGTTATTTATAGCGTGTTGCTGAGTATAAATTTCCCTTTTTTTAAAAAAATCTGTATTTTCAGATCTCTTCTCCTCCTCCCCCCCTGATTTTCGCTTGTCTGTCTGGGCTTTTGATTTTTTTTTTCTCCCTAGCTGACATATTTTCCCCCTGGGCTTACAGGCTAAAATAACTGTGTGTTTTGTTGAATGCTAGTCTATTTTTTCCCCATAAATGCTCAAGTCAGACACAATTCCATCAACTATTGACATCTCTTGGCACAGAGACATTTTTGCAAAGAAAATAAAACAAAAATCTCTCTCTCTTTCTTTTTTTTTTTAGTTAAGGAGACTTGGTGTGGAATGGTATGATAAGAGCGCAAGAAAAAGAGGGGGGGAATTCAGAAATCGCTAAAGAGCGTCTAGCAATTTCTTAACACATTTTTCTTCAACTTTGGCAGCTGGAAGATAGGTGGACTTCAACTCCCAGGATTCCCTAGCCGGCCTGGGGAATTCTGGGAGTTGAAGTCCACACACTTTCAAGCTGTCACAGTTGAGGAAAACTTTTGTCTTAAAGGAATATACCTTTTTTTTTTAGAACTGCCTTTGTATACTACCCACCGAGTTTAATCATTTTTTTATTTTATTTTATCCTATTTTTGCTTGCCTTTCAGTCTTTCCAGGGAAGTCAAGGGCGAGCCTATCTCTTCAATTCAGTGTGAGTGTTTTGTGTTTTTGTTTTTTTAAAGTATTGTGGTCGTTGTTGGTCTTTGTAAAATATCTCACCATAGCTTTTTTCATGAGGTCTGCCTGGTCTTGGGGACACAATTAGCCAACAAAGAGGACTGTGAACCGTAATGGTTTTAACCTTGTTCTCCTTTTTAAGGCTATCTGTTGCTGGAGGACTAAAATAAAACTTCCAGATGGGGAGGAAATTATCTTATTACTGAAAGATAAGCTGTAAGGAACAGCTGTGTTACTTTTTGTGGTTTGACAGTAGAGAATAACAGGGTAACAGAATAACAGAGTTGGAAGGGAACTTGAAGGTCTTCTAGTCCAACCCCCTGCTCAAGCAGGAAAGTAACAGAATAATGGAAGGGACTTTGGAGGTCTTCTAGTCCAACCCCCTGCTCAAGCAGGAGAATAATAGAATAATGGAAGGGACTTTGGAGGTCTCCTAGTCCAACCCCCTGCTCAAGCAGGAGAATAATAGAATAATGGAAGGGACTTTGGAGGTCTTCTAGTCCAACCC